AGGCAAAAGTTGTGTTACATAACTCATTGATTCTGAATATAATTCTTTTCACTTTCTCTCCTCTTTAAATTTAGACCATAGATAGCAACACTGCCTAAAATATTGATTAAATTCTAAGTCCAGCAAAAAGTACCTGACGTCTTATTGAATTTCCTGTAATTTCAACAGCACCAAAATACAGAGAAAATAAAATTCAATGAGGAGGAGAAGTCAGCACTTACTTGACTTAGGAGCTAGTCAACAAGACCAAGTATGTAAAGAAAACTCCTATTTACAACTTTATCATTTTCTAGGGTTAGTGTGTATGTGTGTTCATATTCATTACAACTTAAAAATGTTTCGATTATAGAATATTTTAAACATACTTTGAAAACCACACAGAAGAATACTCATGAGCCACCCCACCCTAATCTCTGTAACCTGGCCTCAACAATCAGCAACTCATGACCAATCTATACTGTCTCCTTTTCTCCCCTTCAGTATTATTTTGAGGTAAAGCCCAGGCACTATATCATTTCATTTTTACTATATTCGATTGGGAGGGAAGGGGAGAGACTACAACAGAAAGATTGGGGAGTGAGAGAAATAATGCTGCTTCTTTTCTTCTACAATCCCCACCCTTTGTCATAACCACAATTTTAAGGAGTAGCCGGGAGTATTTTGAGGAAAGAAGCCCACATGCCATCCCAAACAAGCACCGGCAATTCCAAATTTACTGCAACTGCCCAATCACTTCCTCCTTCCATCTCAGTCGACTTCAATGTTTCAGGACCTCCCTGCTTATCTAGTAGCAAAGATGACAGACAGTATGACTGACTGGTATACTTCAGTCCTTAATTTCTGGCATAGCCACAAAGGACTGCATCCAATGGAAATGTTGTTCTAGCACTAGATTAATCAACAAGTCCCAGAGTTGATAAGATTTCTCTGGTTTAGACAGAAGTCTGCCTACCTTTTGAAACAAGACTATGGCTAACTCCATGGGCTACTACTAGCTGAATGAGATAAGAAGGCACATACAACAGAGCTGTCTTCTAGGAATGGGAAGGAAAACAAAAACTGCAGATAAGGGAAGTGGTGGCAGAAACTTGACAATAACTTGTGCCTTGGAGTGACACCTGTGAATACACAGCCCACCCCAGCAGCTGCATTTTGTAAATAAGAAAAGTTTCTTTACGATTTGATTTACACAAATCGTGTTTCACTGCAACACTCTCCGCTGCAAACAAACTACTAACACCCGTCCTAGGGATAAAATTTATGGTAAAATTTGATATTAATGATTTTTCATAGTAATAGGATCAATTACCCTTCCCTCCGTTTGTAATAAGATTGTGCCATTATCAGTACTTCTGTTTCTAATACTTTCTGTAAAACAAAAATTAGTTCATTTTATTACTACACATCTGATGATGAATTTTGTGGTAATAACAAAGAGCGTGAGGACAGTTTCATTACAATGAATGTGCATAGGTAAACGTCTCAGGGGAACAGTGAACTAAATATACTCACTTTTGTTGTCTTTGTATAGAACGGGGAGGAGAGTTGGTGAATAGGCAGGTCCACGATACTAGTGGAGTTTGTGACACTGTTACTATGTGTATGTTCATCTTCCCTGCTACTGTCATCAGACTGATCAAAATCATCACTCTCCTGGTCCATTTCCTCTTCCTCTTCATCCTCCTCATCTTGCTCACCAGCATGTTCTCCGTCTTCTTCTTGTTCTTCCTGATTTCCTGAGGAGTCCTCATCTACCGAAATGAATCGATTGTTGTTTTCTTCCAACCGTCCTTGCTGGAAGTCGTTCTGGTCTCCAAGCCTAGGTTCTGCTCGGATGACTTCACCATTCCTTGCGGTGTGCTCCTCCTCTTGTTGTCGGAGCTGCTGCTGCTGCTGCTGGTGCTGTTCCTCCTCTACCACGCGGTTCATCTGCTCCTCATCTGCCTGGCTTGAGGAAGGGTTACCTCTCAGAGAGCCTCCAGTTCGTCGTCTTTTGCTGCCCACAGAGAGCAGTTCCTGATTCATTTCCAAAAGCCAGCTTGCTACTTCTTGGACCTTGGCTAGACTATCAGAAGATGCAAAGGATTTCACATTCTGTAGGGAAAAATGGGGGTGGGGGGGAGAAAAAGGTTTGTTCAATCTATATTATCTTCCACTTTTATGTCCTAGGTCTATATTCCAAATTTCATTAAAGATTATAAAGTATCTGATGCCATGGAGACATTAAGATGTTCTTTAGAAATCAATAAAGTTTAAAATGTAGAAATTACGACACTTTACAAAGACAGACACAAAAATCACATAGTAAACAGCTTTATTTTAATCTTTTAAACAATTTTAGAATGAAGCCTGATAATTTAGTTGCTTTGACCAACAAAACATAATTTAACCAATAAAATCATTTTCAATTTTAAATCAGTTCATAAATGATATCTTTTGTAAAGCTTCCAGAAGATGTTATGAAGTACATCATAAAAAAAAAACAAAACAAACAAACAAAAAAAAAACCATTCAATGCTCAGTTAAGTTCAGGAAATGCTGAGGTAAACCAAGATAAAAAGGCCTTCTTACCTTTGGAATTTCCCAAACTTCTCTGATCATAGAACCTTGCCTTAAGACATAGTTTTCCGACAGGCACCAAGTATAATTCATTATGATTTTCATTGTTGACAATGAATATAAATTGAATGGACAGTAAATAAACAAAAAGTTTTACTTTTATTTTTTAAAAAAGGAAAAAAAGTTCATAAGTTCATACCCTCTGACCCAGTAACTCCACTTCTGGCAATCTATCCTAAGGAAGTAATCCTAAAACAGAAAAAAAAATTATGCAAAGGATGCTCACTGCAGCTTTACCCACAAAAGCAAAAAATAAAAATAAATGTAAATAAAAATAATCAAAACCCAAACGTTCAAGAAAAGGAATCCATGAGATGGGGTACATATAGTGCAATTCCTAAACATGATGTTCATTTTTAAAAATTTGAGGGCATGGATGTTTATATTATGCTAAGGGAAATTACATGATCACAACATGATTTTTAAACTGCATAAATACAAGATTTCAAAATACAAACTGCTTTTGGGCGGTGGTATTGTAAGCACCTAAAACTTATTTTTTAACTACATTTTCAAATGCTATATATCAGACACATTTGCTTTTATAAAAGTTTTATAGAATGACACTAAAATTTGATCTGATATAAAATCTTTTCATAATGGTCATTCCTAAATTTCACCCTTTGCAGATACCTATATGGACGTGTTTGAGGTCATATAAAATAATGCCAATTCACTGCCCAAGTTCATATAAAACTCCTTTTAAAAATATCTTTATAGGTTTATGAGATAAAACAAATACAACATACATCTTCTATCATGTCCTAAGAATAACTACATTATATCACAATGGTCTTTATTAAAACAGCCTTATCTACTTTTCGATCCCTTGCCACTAGATGGTAAATCTCCCAAAGTGCCTCAGTTCTCACTGCAAGTTTTGAAATGGGGTTTGAAAGTCTGAAAGATAGCTTTAAAATAGCAATATTTCATTTTACTTTCTATAATCTACACTTGCTAAGAAATAAGCTGTAGTGTGGGGGGAAAATTCTTTAATTCTAATTACAACTAGAAGTGTAAGTATAGAAAGAGAAGAGTTCCAACGACTGAGCTATGAGACACTCCAACATTCAAAGAGAAGACTAACCAACAAAGGTAACTAACAAGGAGGACTGGGAATGGGTGGTATCTTCGAAACATTCAGGTAAAGAAAGTATACCCCGAAGGACAAAGTATAAAATGACAACTGTTGATGATAGATCAAGTAGGATGAACAGAAAGAATTGACCATTGGATTCAGTAACATGGAAGTCACTAGTAATAGGAGTTTGTTAGTTGAACTCTGATTAAAGTAGATTTAAGAGAGTAGGAAAAGAGAACAGAGATGGTAGGTACAAACAAGTTAGGAGTTTGCTGCAAAAAAGAACAAAAGGGAGTGGTAACTGGTAGGGAAAACAGAATTAAAAGAAAATTTTTTATTCTTCAAGACTGGAGACCTAGCAGTGTAGTGTATCTGTATATTAACAAGAGTGATCTGGTACAAAACAAAAAGTTTGAAACGTAATCAAGAAAGAGAAGAAATTGTGGTGTTCTTCTTAATTAATTAAAAGGGGATGATGGGAAAGAATTCAAAAATGGAGGACTAGTTTTAGTTAAAAAAACATGGAAACTTTATGGCAAAAGATAGAAAAGAAGTGTGGTATCACAGGTACTTTAAATTTATTTCTTTTTACCATATTTTTCAATGTGGAAACAGCTGGAAATAGGTGGGTTTTTACAGAGGTAGAAGTCTTTGGAAATTCTCTACTCATTCCTTCAACTGTTTTCCTTCTTCTTTCTAAAGTAGGAAGCAATGTCATCATTGTCATCATCATCAGAGTGATCTTGGGAGAAGAGTGTTAGAAATTTGAAGAAAGAAGGGGCGCCTGGGTGGCGCAGTCGGTTAAGCGTCCGACTTCAGCCAGGTCACGATCTCGCGGTCCGTGAGTTCGAGCCCCGCGTCGGGCTCTGGGCTGATGGCTCAGAGCCTGGAGCCTGTTTCCGATTCTGTGTCTCCCTCTCTCTCTGCCCCTCCCCCGTTCATGCTCTGTCTCTCTCTGTCCCAAAAATAAATAAACGTTGAAAAAAAAAAAATTAAAAAAAAAAAATAATAAATTTGAAGAAAGAAGTATGAAATAGTCCTTTAGGGAGAGAGAAGGAAACTTTCCTAGGTGCATGAGATTTCGATGATCAAATATAATCAATAAGCTATGATGTAATACATACTAAATATGCCTTTAAAAAGTCAAGTGGTTCTTATTTACAACTCAGACAAGAACAACAACAAAATTTCTATTTGAGGTGGAAAGTAGGTCTTAGGAAAAGCACATTAAATAACATATCTGTTGTTTTCTACAAAAAATTAAAATTAAAAAAACTACAGAAAATAAAGGTCATCAAAGTCTTATTGGCTAGTATATGTAGAAGACAAACTATGAAAACATTAGAGAAAGGCAGGTTAAAAATAACACGCTGAAAAACACTGACCTACACAAATGAATATATATAGTATCCTAATGTATATAAGGTAAATCTACTATTCATAGGTTTCCTTCAAACAATCAAAATCTTGCTTTCATAACTGTATCTAAAGTCAGCTCTCCTAACATTAACAGAACATTTTTCACTTGGATGTTTATGCATAGAACAGCACGATAACAGGGTCAGTACCTTGGGATAATGCAAACCCCAACCAACTGCCCTTTGTGTGTCCAACCTAACAGGCAAATTTTTAAGAGACTAAAACAGGTTAAATGCCATATTGAAAGCAATTCATAAAGTGCAAAAGGTGAAAGAACAAAGGGCATAAAGCTAATCATAAAGAATATGTGAAAAGTAGGGAGGAGACTGTTGGTAAGCCGTCGGCCTATCAACAAATAGAAAGTGTACGACTGGCATTTCTAAAATAGTACTAGTACTGGTCAATGGTGAACACTTCTGTTGCCAATTATGAAAACAAAAATTCAAATCACTATCATTCTGTAACTTTAGTGTTATATTGGGAATTACAGAGAATAAAGTATCTTAATTTAAGCCAATAAAGTTAACTGACTCATATTTACAACCATGGCATAGAGATAGCTTTCAAAATAATACAGATTCTTACAAACAGACCTGGTCAAAAATGGTAAATCCAAGTAAAAGAATCAGATTTAAAGCACAGTATAAAATTTAAAGCACAATATAAAATATACAATGACACAGCTAAAAGTCAGATTAGAGGAATCCCAGAATATTTGAAAAGGCTAAAAATATCTGACAGACTTACATAAAAATTTGTCCAAGTAGTATATATATTAGACTGGATTTCTCTGACCCAGTTTTGGAATGGAAAATAGGAATGAAAATTTCATCTTCTATTGGTATTCATAAACACAAAATTAAACAAAAAAATCCAGTGTTTTTAGGAAATTAGTTCTAATAATAATCTATTAAAGAAGCTAATGACCTAATTAAAATAATAAATATTTATCCAATAAGATCAGAATCGATTAAATACCTATGGGGGAGGGATCTTTTAAAAAGTAGTTTATAAAGCCCCACATTAAGAAAAAGAAAACAGGGGCGCCTGGGTGGCGCAGTCGGTTAAGCGTCCGACTTCAGCCAGGTCACGATCTCACGGTCCGTGAGTTCGAGCCCCGCGTCAGGCTCTGGGCTGATGGCTCGGAGCCTGGAGCCTGTTTCCGATTCTGTGTCTCCCTCTCTCTCTGCCCCTCCCCCGTTCATGCTCTGTCTCTGTCTGTCCCATAAATAAATAAAAACGTTGAAAAAAAAAAATTAAAAAAAAAAAAAAAAAAAAAAAAAAAAAAAAAAAAAAAAAAGAAAAAGAAAACAAAGTTGACCTAAAACTTAAAACTGCCATATAGGAAAAGCTAATAAAATATTAACAAAAAATGCACACTTTCACTTTTAAAACTCTAATTCTGTAGAATTAGAACCTGTAAGAAACACAAACATCAACAAACAGAATCCTGTATCCTAAAAAGTCAGTGTAAAATCCAGAAATGCTCTTTTATTTCTTTTTACCAGAAGTATATAATGTCAAGATATATCAAATACATAACTTACGTTTTTATCAATAACTAGTGAGACCAAACTTGGAAGTAAGGAAAATAAAGTCTGATGGCTAATATACTTTGACATTAAATTACACAATTTCCTTGACAATTGGGCATGAGAAGAATGGAAATGACTCAAAGTCAAGAAAACCATAGAAATTTTAAATTGAAAATGTTCCTCACTTCACAGACAAAGCAACTGAAGCTGGAAGAGATTTAAGTAAATTTCTCAAGATTGCTAGCTTCCAGCTAGCTTCAAGCAAAGTAGAGACCAGAAAGAGACATTCAACTGAGTTTTCTTTTATGTGCCTCAGTCTACATTAACTATAGATGATAAAATCCTAAGAGTATTATTCTCTAACACTGATA